TTCTAATCAAAAATTAACAGCACATGCTTTTGGTTTTTAACTTAACTTTTGGTTAAGTCCCACTAGGACATAGTTCATTGTTGAATCACATATAAGAGGTGAGGAATATCTTTCCCATAGTTGGGAAAGAATCTGTTACTTTTTGTTTCATACAGATAATGGCAGCAGAACTCTGCTCTGTGCGTCATTCAAATTATGCAATAATCGTTTTCTGTTCAGGTTTTCATCAGAAGATTAAATAACTTTGAACAAAAACGTATATAAATCAGTGCTTAAAATTCAGGTTGAGCATTCTGTGGTTAGTCTTTCCTAATTTAAGCTGCTAAAGCAAATTACATTCCTATACACATTAGTAGAACTAGACGGAAAGCAGTTTTCCTACATTACATATCTTCTTACCATTTCCAAAATGTTGTTGTTCTGCATGAAATCAAACGTGAAGCCTTCAAAGCTCCCAGCACAAGTGTCTGTTCTCTAAGCTTCAGTGGCCTCGAGTCTTTTAGGCAGACAAAGGACTTAAAACTGATTTTTGTACGTTCAAAGGCAATAAAATCATTGGATTGTTGGCTATTCTCACATATTCTTTTTCTATCCAACTCTTCCTAAGGTAGTCTAAACAGTGACTTACTAGCATATATCAAACACAACTATTAAGGAAGTAATAATTACTTGCAGTGTCTTTAAAACTCAATACCTCACAGGACAAGCAGCATAAACATCATCGCACGCACATGACTAGAAGTACAAGTTGGATATTAAGTAAATTGCTAGCAAAAAGATCAAGTTAAGAAATTTCAGTGATGAGTGAAAAACAGTGAAATAAACATCTTAACAAAGGGCATAAGAGACATTCTAGAAATTACTGAACTAGCATCTTTGCAAAAAGTTCTGAGGCATTGGTCACAAAACAGAAGAAACCATGCAATAAAACTCAAATGCTGAGGAGTGAAGACTGAAGTAAAAAAATAATTCAGTTCAAGAAATAGTATCACTTTCACAACTAGTATGAACACAGGTGTTTTAAGTTAATGAAGTTCTATCAGCTCAGGCATCAGTGACTTTGATGCATATCAATCAGAAGAACTCCTTATCTTTAAGAAATATTTTAATTATAGTCTCAGCTTTTCCTTACTGATGTTACATATTAAATGGCTTGATAACTTTTTAATTATGTTTATGAATAATTTCTTATGTGTATTATTAAAAAAAACTAAGACTTTTGAATGCATAAAAAAATCCTCGCATCTCAGAAAAAACAGGAAACATGTCTGTCGAACAGGCCATGTCTGTTGAAGGAAATACTAATTATCAACAACTTCATAAACTGCAAGGAAACATATCTTACCATTTTTCACTTTTAACAGGTATTATTTTTAGAAAATAAATATTTGCCTTTCATTTTCACTGCAAAAAGACATTATCAAAGAGAATTCAGGAATTCTGCCTGTTCATCTTCTTAACAGCATATGTGGTGCATGCCCATGCAGAATAATACTTCTCACAATAATGTAATGAAAAAAATGTTGATCATTCTACAGGGGCAGGTGTTGGCTGTGCCAATTTTAAAGGTGTCAAACGTGTCACTTCCTACTGGCTTCTTTTGAGTTTATGTTAATGGATGAACTATAGAAAGAAGGCTATCAATACCTACAGTCGCTCTCTGCATCTGCAAGGGAGAAGCATGGAAGAGAACGACTCCCACTAAGCTAATGCTCTTTCTGATCATTCTATATGACGGACTGGAATAACACTCCCAACACGGAGGATAAAACATTAACCATTGAAGAGAAGCTCTCCAGTCAGGAAATTCTGGCAGCACGGCGTAATCACATTGAGTCTGCAAACCTTGAACTGATGGCTTGTTACAAAGCCAACTAACATCACACACATAGATACATTCAGCATTCACATGAACGCCACCTTTTCTGTTACTGCTTTAACAGACACATGGAAAAATAATAGTAATACTAGGCCAGTTGAATGGAAATTCATTTGAAACCACGGACAAGTTATACACAGTTCTACAGAACAATGTCCTGCCTTTTTTGTAGACATTCAGAGTGAGAATTATGAGAGGTTTAAGGCAGCACTTTGGTACGCAGGCCATATACTGGAATTAATCTTAACACCTATTTGCCTAATTTTGAGATGCAAAATATCTGAAGATACCATTGTGGCGACACTTCTGAAAGCTCATCTGTGGATTACACCAACACTGCCTGGAAAAGTCCAGTGCACACTAATAGCTCGACTTCTTCAAATAGGTGACAGCAGCAGAGATTAGAATTGTAGAAATCTGAGGGTTTTTTTGGTCTCGGTTCAACAGTTCTTCCTCTCTTGTCTACATAAAGTCATGTTGCAAACAAGGCCTGACAAACTACTGTGCCTTTTAATCATATTTAGCATTATTGTCTTCTAAATTCTAAAAGCAAAATATTTGGTATTGACTGCTTTCCCAGTTAATTCTTTACATGATTTTTTTCCCAGGAAATTCTATCTATCAACACATTAAACTCTACATTAAATATTCTCAGCACCATACTGAGGCAACAACTAATATTATGGCTTAAGGATTACCTAACTTTAGTGCCTGTAACCACAAACTGAGCATTTTGTAGAGCTTTAAAAACACTTTTCAAGTCTGAAAACAACTACAGTAACTCTCTGTAGCATGCCAGCACTTGAATGGGATTGAATTGTGGTAAATCATTATTTATAGGTGTTAGTTACAGCTGCATTGCCAAGGTGCAAATGTATATCACACTTCAAGATGATACTCAGTCTCTCCTTCTTGTTAAACTAAAAATAATAATAATAAAAAAAACACCAAACCAAAACCAGTCCATCTTTCCCAAACACTTTGCAATTACTTTTTGTCTTGGCTGAATAAACTATTTTCAGAAAGTTCACAGATAAACCTTTTAAGTAATTTACGAGTTCAGATAAGCATGAAAAGAAAATATAAGGTTCATTAGAAAACTTAAAATCAGAGTCAGTCTTCACCAAAAATAAAACTCACTTATGATATTCAGAAAGTTCAAGCTTTCTACATAGCCAACATTATTTTAAACGTTTAAATAATTTTTTAAAAAGGGTTATAATAAACAAGTTTGATGTTATGTCATTGCTAATATATGCTGCTTCAATCATCAAGTACTAATACTTTATGGACAGATACAACTCCATAGATGAGTTCTCTTCAAGAGGGATCACTCTCATGGTTGAGATAGCTACTTTACTACTCAGCTAATTTTAAAGTAATTATTTTGTTAGCTTTGACTTGGGATGCAGTTTCCCAAATGCTGAAAGCTGAGTTTAACTCTGCAGCCAGGCATTTCTTTTCCTCCTCCTGTTAGCACCTTTTCACTTTCTTATGCTATCACCATACTTGGGAACACAATGCTTGGCTGAGGGGACAGCAAGATTTCCATTTCTGACGGCAGCATAGGCTTACACTGGCTTTGGCCAAGCAAAATGTGTACCTTGACTGCAATCAAGACCACATCTAGTGTTGTAATGGCAAAGTACAGGACTCCAGTGCAATCACACTAGGGGCTTCAAGGTCACCAATTTGGACATCAACAACCAAAAGGATACCTGTAATAGCATCCTTCTCACATCATTATACACAGCCTTCAACTCTGTTTATATGTTGACTCTATGTTTAAAAACAAAACAAATTTTGCACAAGTAGCAGTGAACATTATACAAGGGGAAGTCTATTACACAGACTTTTTTTTTATCTAGGGCAACCTCACTTCTGAGAAAGAAAGCTCTGGGGAAAAATTTGATTTTTACTGCTCTGCTGGAGCTGCTATCTCCTTTCTTCACAAATGGGTCTTGCAACAGATGTGCTGAGTATAGGACCTCCTGGCCCACTCCATATCACATATCATCTCCAAGTTGTCTTCCTCAGCAACCTCCCTCCCATACATGCAATCACCACCATATATACTATTCTTCCACCACTCTGTCTAACTCTTCCGCTCCTCCTTCTCTTCTACAATTGTCAGAGACTGCTTAGAATGACAGAGAGCAATAGAAACAAAAAAGTGGTGAGTGCAGAAAGGGAACCCTGTTAGCTTGCTGCCTCAAGCATGTATTTTTGTGTGTTTAAATTCAGTACGATTGCTAAAAGAACAGCATTTTTATATTTTGCAAGTTATGCTGTGAAAACATGTATTTAAGTAAATGACCTTGCTAAGCTTGCAGTATGTATGTCATGCTGCTTCTTAAACACATTTTTATAATTAACAATCCCTTCTGATTATTAATGCAAATGAAATAAAATGGCATTTCAGTTCTTTTACCACACTCCAAAAATTCTTGAGGAAAATGGAAGAGAAGTCTGCACAACTCCAAAATCCAGCTATAAGTTAACAGTCAGCATAAGATCACTCTTGCTAAGTACGGTATCATCACTAACATCATGTAAAAATGTTACTACCAGTTTTTTAACTTATTTCTCTCTCCCCTCCTTGAGCTTTTAATTTTCAGATTTTCAGTTATAAAAGAGCCATTGTAATCTGTCTGACAGCAGAATCATAGTTGAGATACATGTTACATATAAACTAACGTAAGAAATAACCCACCTGAATATCCACTGACTACACAAAACCAAGAGCATTCAGAATAAAGATAGCTAACTAGTGTTGAAAAAGGAATAGTGTGCAAGAATCTCAAGCCACTATGACATTTAGATACAGCAACTAAGAATAAAAAGCACAGAGCAACAGCCACTACCACTTACTTATTTTTTGTGACTTTATCTTAAATCTTTCTATAGAATTTTGTATATATAATCTACTTCCCTTTGATGTAGCACTATGAGAAAACAAAGTTCTTCCTTATATTCAGCTGGGACATAAATCACAGCAATAAGAAGATGGTTCAAGGCATAGTCATTGTTCATTATTTGCCTAACACTAAATTGCTCAAGCAAAAATTTTCTTTTGACAAATACCAAGTTTATAAGAAACAAAAAAACAAACAAAAAATACTCACAGCTTTGGTTTTGCAAGCACAGGTGGGGGCTCCTTTGTGGGTGAAAGCAAGACAGCTGGAGGTGGGATGGATCTATCACCATTTGGCTTGCTGTTAATCATTCCATTTACTCCATGAATGGGATGGATGCCATTTGTTTTTTCTTCAGATGAATTGAGCTGCAGTTGAAAGGCTGTCACACCAGATCTCAACTCAGTGTTGTTTGCTTGGTGAGTCTCTGTATGCTTCTTAGGAGGAAGCTCAAGAGAGCTAATTTCAGCTGGAGGAAGTGGTGGGAAATGATGGAAATCACCACTGTTGGATTCTCTTGTTAGTGATTCATGACTAGAGCTTTCTGTGTTGGCTAAAATAAATCAAAAAGAATGTCTCTCTGACAAGTCATAGACAAAGTACATGGTACATACATGCTGTACTTTCAGTTTGTTAAAAGTGAGATCTCTTTTGTTCTGTGCAGATATTTTTCTAGAGTTTGTGTTGATAATTCATGCTGAATTAGACACATGACTGGCCATTCGTTTTCTGACTTTGCCCCACGCGAAAGGCACAACAAGAAACCTTATGGATCCCTCTAAATCTGTTCCAGGAATCCAGCCACTAACTGAGATTGGCAAGTACCATGGGACAACAACAGCTGAAACAGCATTTCCTCTTCCTGGAGTCTCGGCATCATTTAAGAACAAATCATTTAAAAATACTGAAGGTTGTATGTATACATGGCATGTTTGCAATGGCAGCTGGGTTAGTGCATTCCACAACAATATGTATGTAAACCAATTACAAAACTAAACATACCGTGTGTGGGAAAATAACTGAAATCGGAGGGGAATGGGAGAACACTGTGCCCCAAAATTCAGCTACATCTCAACATAAGCTGTAATATCAGAGCAGACTTGGGACACTGATAGACTGGTCTTTTGACCTCAAAACGTGACACCATGTCACAGGTTTTTATTTTCAAAAGGTATATGCCACCTTTGGTAGCATAATTTCATCTGCTTTCATTTTGCCTCTGCTGCCATCTAGTCCCAGAACCCTAATGCTTAAAAATCTGCCAGGCTTATGGCAGACACTTAAAAAATGTACTTTACATGAATAAAAATCTTAAACCAGGAAATGGGCCTATAGCAACATTTGGTTTGCTTCATATGAATGCTCTGAGGTTGACAAGACCCCTGTCTTAGAGCTGCCCTTTTCTGCAAGGGAAGCAGACCAATAACTTCACTGGTACACTAATCATTTATGATCTCTGATTAGAAATTCCTCTTTCGCTTTGTGACATACCTGAGCAGACAGTTAGTTGTGCACTGCTTGTTACTGAACCATGTTCATTTGTTGCTGTGCATGTGAAAAGTCCTGAATCTTCAGGAAAAGTTTCTGCAATTACAAGGGTACATATCTCTTCTGGAAATAAACAGAAAAAGAAACTGCATTATAAACTGTTTAAAGCACCATATAATGTTTTTGCATCGTATGTTAGAAGGACATGAGAAAGTGCTCCTTATACAAAGAAATACTGTGAGAACTGCAGAAGAGCTTCCAATATAAACGGCTTTAATGAAAATCACTTTGTGTCTAAAACAAGTAAATTTACCAAGCAAAGTTTTCAAAAAGGGCCTGTCTTGAACAGTAATTTTGCAATCACAAGTCTGTGCAGCCATTTTACACACTCAAGATCTTCATTTATATGCAGAATAGTACTAATACGTGCAAATCAATGTACTGGTTTCCATATACAATTAATACCTGCTAGCTCTTTTTGGGTCTCTAAATAACACCACCAATATGAATGTCATGTCATTCCTTCTTTCCCTAAATTTTTCTGTATTTAATGCAACATTTCAGATCAAATCCCGTTCCTAGCAAAAGCAGAAAGTATTTTGCCATCCCTTCCAATTAACTTTTCTGTATAAATTGACTAGAATTAAAAACTCTGGATGGATAAATATTCCCCTTATGCAGAGTTTGGGAAAATAATTTCTGTCTTTGTCTGCACAGCAGTAAGAATGGATAAATTGAAAATATAGGACAAAACATCATCCCCAGGAACTGTTCAGAATGCTGTGACACAGATATATTCTGTGGTTGCTTGAAATCTGTTCATTCTACTTTGATATGCTATAGTATATGTTTTGATTAAATCAGAGCTTCAATCAGAAAACTTGTACGGAGGCAGGACTGTTCATATTTCAGTCATTATACTGTGTCTCACAGTAATGTTTTCTAAATCAATTCCATCCATTTCTAATGGGTATATTTAATTATCAAGGCATATTTTTTTCCAGATTCTTCAAAGAAGTCACTTTATTTTATCTCTACTTGTAATGGTATTCTAATCTTTTTAAAAATTCACAATATAAATAATCTAAAGAATCTTAGTATTTACACAACATATCTACATAATTTTAGACCTGGACAATGTTATATCATGGGTTTCCTTAATTAATTAGGAGTTTCTTTTGATTATGCTTATTTTCTAGTCTCAAAACCAAATCAGAGAAGTTTTGTACAAATCAGTTTCATTAAAAAAGAAGCATTCAGGATATTTATCCAGAATTCCACATATTATTAAAAAAAATAAATGGAATATAGCTAATAAAAACAAACAGAAAAGTGAGGAAAAATATTTCAGACTCCAATAACTTCCACATGAAAATTATTCTGTGGAAGAGCTTCAGTTGGGTAAGCTTCACTTTGTTTAGTTCAAAGAAGAATTTTCTAACATTTTCTAACAGTTCTTTTTTTTCTTTCCTAATTTTCATTGTGGAATGGCAGACTACTATCTAATTTAGTCAGTTAACAAAAAAGTTATGGAATCCTTCCAGTTATAAATGACAATGTATCCAAAAACTGCCTGTACTGGAAATGGGCTAAAAACAAATGACTAACAAAAGATTTGGCACAGAGTTGTTTTTCAGACAGCAGAACACGCTCTTTTTTTGGCAACGCAAACCAGTCATTCTGCGTAGCTGCAAGAGACATGTCTGGTAATACTGTAGCACGTTGGATCTTATCTGACCCAGATGAAGATTAATGACTCATGAAAGGTCTTATCAGGAAAGTAATGGGTAACACAAGCTAGTTTTTGAACTACTGAGATCAGCTTTTTTTAGAGTCTTAGTGTGTCGTAAGCAGTTGAAGCTATATTGTTAACCACACGTGCATACTCTTGGATTGAACTGACTCTGGGGATGCAATCTGATACGTGCAGCATACTAGTTTCCTGTTCATTTAACAGCAGAATTCTGAAACTGTTATGTCAGGACTGCAAAAGAAAATCATTCCCACCGTGCTGTTTGAATGAGGGCAAAGGTACTACAAAACATAACAACCAGCACAATTCCTATTTTCCCATTAGCAGAGATAATTAATGCATAATGTTCCTTCTGTTTTTTAAGTATGTAAAATGATTACATGTGAAGAGCTCTTCAGTGATAAAAGAATTCCAATGAATTCTACCATAATGTGGTTTGTTTACTGAAGAGGTATATTTGAAAATTATACATGGTAAATTGCAGTAATCCTTGCAAAAGAAATTGAAAGTAACTTAGTAATGAAAATAATGAGAGTTTAAAACTCAATCTTCTCAGCCGGATGAGCAAACTACAACATATTTGGGATCAATCATGAGAAAACTGAAAACAAAGAAAAACCTGAGAACTAATCAAAAGGCAACTTGGGCAAAAGGCATGTGCAAGCAACACATTGCTATTGCCTTTATTTATTTTGCTCCCCCATGAACCAAGAATTACTGACCACAAGTTCTTTGCTAAAAGGCTTACTACTGTGGAAAGTATAGAAATAAAATACTAGTTTGACAAAATAAATGTTCTTTAAAGACTTCCATAACACACTTTGGATGCCTAGTGGTCTGAGTATTTTTCTAGCTTTACATCCTGAGTTATGTAATTATTTTTCTTTCTGTTACTGTGCTAAGTAGAATCTGATGATTTGAAGTAAATAATGTCTGTTCTACTTCCCGGCAATCATCAGCTGACAAATAATTTCATCACAAAAATGTGTTCCAGAAAGCAGTTCTGAAATGCTGTTCTCAGGGCCTTAAAACATATTTAACACTTGACTAAAGGAATACAAAAGCATTCTGTTCACTGAAACATGTAAAATGCTTAGGCATGCAAGTACTTGACTATTTTGTCAGTTATTTAGAAAGAAAGATTAAATTTTACAGAGTAATCCTTTCCCTTTATGGTTCATGAGTCCATTAGGAAGAATAATCTTTGGTAAGAGAAGATTGTTGCATTTTAACAAATTTCATCACTGGCAATGTGTTTACTTCAGAATGTTTCTGTGTATAACATTAATGGTAGAGTAGTTCTTATATCTGCACCTTCATCTCTAAATGCACATACAGTCTTGGGAAATAAGTACGGTCTTTTATTAGTAGCTGTTCATTATGATGCAATGAACAGAGCTACTTCTATAGGTGTAGGTTCAAAGCCATAAGCTTCCTGCTGCACAAAGAGAGCGGCTAGTCATAGTAGTGGTTTCCTGGTAAAAATCCAACCAAACACAACCCTGCCATCTTGCAGACATGTCTCTTATTCTCCCTCTTGTTCTCCTAGCCATCAGATGTTTAACTACAGTTTATTGACAAAGCACTATACTCATCAGGTAACTTTTTCTCATTTAGGTATCTATGCATCTTTTATACAAAGAGAATGGAGACGTGTGAAAATAGAGAAGAACCGAATACGCAGATTAGCATAATAGATGGTAGTACTGCAGACCTGTAGATGCCTTAACTTGCAATAATACAAAGGAAAAAGTATTTAATTTACCTGTTTCTGATGATTGCTATTGTATACATCTTTACCCAGCTGGGCAGCAGTTCTGGTTTATTTCACTGGCTTTATGCCACTCAAGAAACGAAGACACAAGTCTTTAAAAGATATACAGAACTGAATATGTTTGAAGATACCTCAAACAGAAGCTACAAAATACTGAGAAGAAAACTGAACAACAGCAAATGTGATGATTGTGGGCAACATAATGCAGTTTTAGGGCACAGACCCTAGCTTACAGCATATGTAATCAATACCCAAGACAGCTGCTATCTAAGCAGTTCAGGCACAATAAATAGGAATACTGCTATGGCAGAATGGACTTTAGTCCCTAAAGCAGCGTTCAGTTTTGAGGAAAAACTAAGCCATTTATGAAGGTCAAGGAAAAGTTTATGCTAAAGCTTACACTAAGGCAGTTAAAATGCTGTAGATGCCTAAGCCAGCTAGTTTGAAGTTGTCAGGTGTATACACTGAAGCTGAAATCAACATATTCAGCAATGTATTTAATTTACCTGTTTCTGATGATCGCTATTGTATCCATCTTTACCCAGCTGGGTAGCAGTTCCGGCAGTTCTGGGTAGCAGTGTGATGGTTAATGTATCCCAATAAGCTTTAAGTATTTATAATCGAAGGGGAATAAAAGCAATTTTTAAAAAATCACATAGTACAAAAAAGATCAGAGGTTTCCTCTAAATTTGGAAACATCAACAAGCAAGGACAGTCGTAGCAGTCAGACTTAAGTTGGGGTCACTGATAGGACCAGAATTCTGTAGGTATCTTGGGAGCGCAGAGTGCAATCGAAAATGTAATTGACATGCAATAGCACATAGTTTAATAAGACCACCTTTAATGAAGGATAATTTTAGCTGATTTTCAGTGTTTCTCTTCATTTGGCATCTTGAGCTATAGCTCATTGGAGATTGCTCTCTTCAAGACCTCCTTTGCTGCTCAGCAGTGAAAGAGGGAGCCAGACTCTTAGTCATAATTCTTTTATTTTCACTAAAAAATGCAAGGATCCAGCATGTATGCTGACCTACTGAAGTGCCTGTGTTTTGAATTTCATCAGCTATCAGAAAGCTCATTTTTTGGGGGAAAGGGCAGTAAGGATTTCTGTAACATTTGCCATATATTTTCAGTTTCAAACACTATGCAGAAAAAGGGGAGTTGATTTCTAAATGAGTTACTTCCTAGAGTTGAAACTCTGGAACATAGCAGCCAAACAGGGAACAAGAAAGCGCAATGCAAGAGAAGGGATGACTATCTTTTGAGATGTTTTTGGTGAACATACACGGTATTGTGTTTAAGGAAAAAAAAAAGCATGTATATGTGGCAATTCCCTGGCAATTTAGGAAAAATTACTTCATATACTTTTCTTCTTACATGCCATTAGACAATTGTTTTAATGTAATTCAATACAGTTTGTGGCTGCCTCCAGACAGCTGACTAATGGTCAAAATATCAACAGCTGGCAAATGACTCACGGGATTTTTCATTCTCAGGCAGCCTGTTCTTTGAAGGATTCAGTCAGTATTAAGTAAAAACGTCCAAGAAAGAAGTACAGAGCAGGTAATTTGACAAACTGTGATGTTGGCTTTAAGTAATCTGACTAGCTATTAACTGACAAAGCAGTCTGGAGAGATTTGTGATGCAAAGTTATTTCTGTCTAGACAGAAAAAGGAGTGCAAAACACATTAGGGTAGATAGAATGTACCAAAAAAAAGTAGCCAAAAAACCCCCCTTGCTTCTTAGTTTCTTACCTGTGTGAGTTCATGGAGCATTTTTCTTTTAAATCCTTAGTAGTGACCTAGCAAAGGATAACTAATGTTTTCGAGCACTATAAAGTGTATACTGACAGTTGGACTTTGGTTTGCAACTAGCAATTAAAATCACACTACAACTTGTTATAATTTATGTAAAATTTCATGGAAGTTGTACACTTGGAAACATTTTCAGAAATCATGTCCATCTTTCAAAATTCAGAACACTTCGCAGCATAGGCATGTTGATTTCCCTATCAATCTTGCACACGGTCGCCATCTGCACGGAATAGCAATGTGTGCTTATGGACAATGTCCTCTGCAGGTATTGTTTTGCCTGGCTTTTTAGAGCATGAATTGTATTATAAACCAGTGCCGTACCTGTTAGGTTTCTGGTACCCACCCAGCTTCCTATTGTACAAATTTTAAGATCCTTCATGACATCGTAAAAACTAGTGTTACTTTTTGCCAGTATTACCACTAATACACAAAACACTGCTCATCATTTATGCCAAAAGGAAATATTTACATTTTGCCCAAACTTTATTTACATTCCCTTTGCATTTACAGAGTCAATTCCCACACAAATGAGCCAATAAGTGTACTGTCATTAATTTTAGTAGAGAGTAAGACACTGCACATTATTTAATAGGACTTAGTAGGAACAGATACATGCAGAAATCTTACAGGGATAGTACTTCGCTCAATGAATCCTGGGAGAACATAATACCAAACAGAAACTCTTTCATAGGTTTTGGGTAGCAGGAAGGTGCTTATAAATATTACAACAGAATTACAAGCATGAAAAAGAAAAGTCAGGCTGGTGTCAGGCATTCACTACTGCTAATGTCTATTAAACTGCAACAATACAGATACCAAAATAATATTTTGAGATGCCTTCCTACTCTTGTCTTGACACCTACCTTGAGAGTGGTATGAGATACCTTGATATTAAATAACTCTTCTGTACCTGTGAAAACTCAAGAAATGTACTTTTCATGTAAGGATCCATTCCCTAGTACTCTTCACAAGGCTTCATGTATCTTCTCCCAGGGTCTGCAAGCTAACCAGACATGGGGAGAGCATTCAGCACCATCAACATGATGGTGCAGGTATGTTAGAGGTGCAAAGTGATGATCTTGGACTCAGAATTTCAGAAGGAAATTGTTAGCTTTGTGAATTATCATGAATATTCTTACTCATTCCACAGTAATATCTGTCAGATGGGCTAAGTGAACCTTGCAGCTAACAATACTGAAAATTACTTAGCTGTCCATGAAAAAAAATCTTCTAGCAAGAGGCATAATACAGTACTTCCTTTGTACTCCACTATTTGCACAATGGAATTTGAACCTTTTGTGTCAAGCAAAAAAGTGCTTCTACTTTCTACTAGATAACACTGTATTCCTACCCTAAAATATTTACTATGTACTATTGTCATAGCGTTGGTAGATAAAAATCTAGAAAAGATGTTACTATTTGGACAGGAAATAAATTTCTCTGGGAAGGGGAAAAAAGTCAACCCATTGATCTGATATTTCTTTTTAAAGATATCAAGAAAACAGGTAAGTTGGGAGACTTAGCTTTAAGAAAGATACAGAATCTAACATATTTCATCATAAATCTGTTCTCCTTTATTTCTTCTCATATCCAAAGGCTTGATATGATATTGAATCTCTCCTCAAACTGTTTTATACTGTAACTTACGATTTTTAAACCTTAAAATTGGGGTAATGATTATAAACTACCAATAGCCCACTGTTAGCACTTGGACACGTTTTAATTCCTCATTAGAGGTTAATTTGATTTTCCAGCAATCTTCTTTCCTTCACAAGGCTCATGTTTCAAGCCTCCACAAATCAGATTGTTCAGTCACATGTATTCTGGGCATCAGCTGCTAATAGAGGTGATGACGCTGCACACCAAAATTAATAATACCATCAGGATAGGGCATGCATGTGTGTGTATGATGATCATGAAGTAAAATAGGTACATAACAACTTTGTGAAGCAGTATGAAAATAAGTGAATAACTGACAAAGAAAAGAAGAAGCTTTTTCTCTCTTCACCTCCTCTCCTTTCCATGAAAGCTAAGAGAAAGTTGCATTTCTCCTTGTATTAACCCTTCACTGCTTTTTCCTAGTCCATATCTTCATAGCCACACTGCTACTTCACAAATATCACTCAGCTGCTAAGTCTGTTCTTCCTGCAGTCAAAGACTGCCAATGCGACCCCTCAAAGTTTAAAAAAAATCCCCCTATTGCTAAGGTCTTTCAGTTCAGAGACTGAACTCTTTGGGACTCTATTCCCTCTTTGGGAGTACCCAGGTCTCAGATGGAAAACTTTTCTATTTTATTTTCTACTCCATAACTAAAATTCTCTCCAAATTCAATCACATTCAAGCTCAACCAGCCACCTTCTTAAAGCAAGCCTCAGATTATATCACTGTCTTCTCTTCTACACGTTCTTTGACTTAGAGAAGTTAAAGAAAAGAACAAACATTCTCAGTCTTTTAGCATTCCCTTACTATTCGAGAAACTACCACAATATATAACGATGTATAATGGGAAAATGAAGCAGTCAGAGAAAACCTGTAGTTGGAAGAATACTTTTCACATGCTAAAATCTAGGACTTCTGTCTTGAAGAATTCAATGTGCCCCTGTTTTTGAGGATCAGCTTTTACTTGTATTTAAGACTGCCAAACTAGATTGGCAAAACTAGCATTTAGTGGTTGGGTGTTATGAAAGTCTTATGAGTACAATTTGGGTAATGGAATTTTGTGGGATTTGTTCTTTTTCTTCAGTAGCATGCAAATTGCTTATTTTCTAAGAATGAAGTTTTCTTCAAAGCTTAAGCTATGAGACTTTCCTTGCTGGTCTAAATGGAATTTACTGTTTAACTAATAAAGGAATTGATGCAAAGGACAGTGTAGAGTATGCAAGGTGTGATAAAGAAACATTGTCTTTAAGGGGGTTTCATATTACCAATGCTCAGCAGAAACACCTTTCTATTTATGGATTCAGTACAAACTCAAAGAGTTAGTGAACGAAGAGATTATTTTTTCATATGATTCTTACCAGGTTCAGTTGCAGATCGTGGCTCTGCATATCACATCATAAGGAGGGGAAACAAACAAAAAAAGGGTATTAGAGATTACATTAATAAACAAGAGTATACTGAATGAACATATTATACTGAAATACTGTAGACAAGTATAGAATCTGTAAAGACACATTACAAAATAAGGAAGATTTAAATTGTCTGTTGGTAGCAGTGGTTCAATTATTACTTCTAGTTATAATAATCACTGAAATGTGAGGAAGAGAGGACTCTATCCAAAACTCAATCCTAACAGTCTAATTCCACGATCTTTCTCCATCTCGTATCAAAAGTAGCCATCTTCAGGTTATTGCCTTACTTTTTTGGAGAATTCTGAAGTCGGGAGAATCTTGAATTTCAATGCCCTGTCGAAACCACTTAACATGAATGGGAGGGGGTCCTCTGACCCTGCATTCCAATACCACGACTTGTCCCTCTGAGGCTGTGGAGTTTTGTAGCTCCTGAAATATAACAATCACAATTCAAATCTTACATTCTTAAAACAATCTTTTATTCCCTTTTGTCCTAGTTTTAGCTGGGACAGAGTTTAGTGGGGCGGTTCAACCTAACCCACGACACCTTTGTATTTCAACTTTATTTTACCTTGTTATTACATTCTTGCAATAGGCATTTTCTGTGAGCTGTATTTTCACTCTGATTAAATTTAAGATATCAGCTATATAGTTAAAATTGACGGAACAGGTTATTTTCAAATACATTCTTAATATGACCAAAAATGGAAAAGGTGTAGACATATTTAATTCCTCAGACTATCACAAGCAAGTAGTTGCTGTCTGACCTTTCACTTTTTATTCTTCTTCCACAAAGTGAAATAAAAATTCTACAGTTGTATAGCTACACATTGATTGACTTGGTACTGAAAGAGTAGTTGTGCTGCTTTCAGGTCAACCTCTAGAATGTGGAGTTGCTTTTCTTCTGAGCCATTTATAACCAACCAGGCAAAATTAGATGACACAAATATGATTAGGATATATTAGCTTGTGTATGAATAGCTTCTGAGACAGTATTATGGCTGTAATAAATCCTTATATACATCTGAAAAAATTCAGGAAGTGTCTAAACCTTTGATGAAGAACCACAGTGAAAGAGAAGCTGCATAGTACTTTAAGTAACAGAATTGACAGGAGATAGCCACTATTTTTCCCTTTGTTAGCCCTCTTAAGATTATAAATCAAAAAGTCTTTTTAACTGTACTGTCTGTCTCGTTCCCTTTCCAATTCATAAATAAATTTTTAGGCTTTGATGCAGAGAAGTACTTGAAGTTAAGTCTAAGATCAGAGTTATCCCTGGTTACTATTCATAGATCTCTAGTTAATCACATAAGTAGAATTTTGTTACAATGAAACCTAAAAATCTTCAGGTTGTTCCCTGAAGTTTGTATAGAAAGAAATTTTCGTCAGAAAGCTGAACACATATATATTTTGTTGTTCATATCTGGTTCATTTCTTCTGTAATTAAAGTTGTTTTGGTTTGGTATGTGCCAACTGGCTTAAGGCAGTTAATATTGGATTTCAGGGACAAGAGAGAGTAGGATTGGAAGGGAACAGTGGAATTTTGATTGCTTTGGTAGTTTCTGAATGAGGGCTGGATTTCTCCCGTTTCCCACTCTTACAAGAAAGTTGCCTGCCTCTCCAACTTGCAGAAACCACATTCTTTAATCCCTTGCACCTCCACTATTCACTCTCCTGTGATATTTGCAATATCAGTGCAGAATTATGAAGGACAGAATCAGAACTTTCCTGACATGAGAAAGTGACATGATGGAGATAGGCTAGACAGTTGTGGAGAACAGGGCTTACTCTTCTTTATCTTCAGGTAAAACTACTTGCTGTTCCATATTAGCTTTTAGTCAACTGTTTTTCTGAAGTAATAACCAGAAAAAACTTATTTTCTTCATTTTGACTTCAACAAATGGTGACTAAATAATACTCACTGCTATGGAAATGATAGTCTAAAAGCAAAATGAAAATCATATTTTTGATTAAAGTTGTGTTTTAGAGATTAGGGAAATACACTGTCTTTCTTTTTGCTGTTACCTAATTCTCAGTTCTAAAGTTTCATTTGAGCTGAATGTGAAGATAAATATTGACTTAAATAATTACTTAAGAATTACTGAAAATAAAAGTTTTCCGATTAGCAAGTTCATGCCTTACATTTTACAAGACATCCCAATGAAGAATATCTGACCTGCTTTTTTAACTAGCATACCTGCATGGATTTTTTTCTAAAACAAAGTAAGAAAGCCTGTGTTATTTTTTCTGGTCAGTAGGCAAATTATTGTGAAAGAGACTTCATCATGACTATGATGTGTAATTGGTGCCCACTTTGTTTTATTTCACAAAGATTTCTCAATGGAGGACAGCCATGGACATAAGACAAACACATACAGAATAGTAATGTAATTCCACAAGTGATTTTAATAGCATAGAAGGCATAAGAACTTCATTGTTGTAGTGGAAAAGTATTTTCATAGAAAGTCATTAATACTGGAAAGGATAATGAAAACTGCAAAAGTTGTAACATGATCAAATATTCCTGCATTAGGATATATCATTTTGATATTTCCTTTTGGACTATAGGATTGTGATATAAAAATCATGATGGATAAAACATACCTTTGTAAAAATGGGTGCAGAATGGATAGGCTTAGGTCCATCTACACGGTGCAGGTATGAAGTAGGGCTTTGAACCTGCAAAGCAATGCAACAATGCTATAAAATGGAAAGAATATTGGTTTCAATAATACAGTCTTCATATATCTATGCAATAATGAAAACTCTCAAACGCACAGTCTTATTATGGTGTTCTCATTCTAGCACACTTCTTAAGTGACATCACACTACTTCACATCTGTTATATTTCTGAAATCAAAAAGCAAGCTTGAAAGGCTTCTATACTTCCCATGAGAATTTTGTATCCGACTGTCTTTGCCTTGAAGTATTTTGAGAGCTTGACTCCTGTTAATATCATTCAAGTAAGTCCTCTGCACTGAAGCTTTTTTGCCTCTCCTGTTGTTATTACATCTCTTGACTGATGTAGTAATGTATAAACCCAAGTACCTAAAAGCTTATCAATGTTAGCCAAAGGATGGCAAAAGAATTTAACATGTATAGTCTAACAGAGATTTGTATTTTATTTGTATTTTATGATCTATAGGCAAACTCTAAGTCATCCACGGTGGCATTAACACTTGATTTTCTACGTTTAACCTAGACATTAAAATTTATTTTTCTCTAAAAGACCTAGGGAAATTACAGAAATATTTAATTTAATAACAACATTTAAAACTTCTGTTAAAAAATATTGTAGGCATTCATTTGCATTACATTATTTTGGAACTGGACCAAGTCATCATTAAGTGATATACTCTGTAATTTTCATTACCACCAGATCTGTCAGCTGCTCACATGCTGTGTTGATACACACTATGTAAGAATCCATATGGCTATTTAGTTTAATTACCCATTCACTAGATATATACTTAACTTTTTAAAATCATTGTTCTTAATATAATAATGTTAAGTTTATAGTTCAATAATATAATTCCTCAAAATTACAGAGTTTTTCAGGACTTACAGATTTTGAAATCAAATTTAAAATACTTCTACTAATTAAAAAATGAGTGTGTAAAAATACCTGCTGACTAGGCACAGAAATAGGTTGAATGACAGCTGTGGTGACTCCAGACTTTGGCGTAGAAGATCCTATAGTCAAGGAAACAGAGGTCGTTTTCTTTTGGGCCCTGAAAAAAAAAAACAAACCAGCAAGCAAATTATAAGACCTGAAATCAGAATACATTAGTTTGTAACCAATAAGCCACCTTGTATTTTCTACATCTTTAAAATGTCATTACCAGTTGAACAGATCAACATTGGAGGAAGCTTGAGTAGAAGAACAATCTTTGGCTAAGTTACACTTTTACACTAAATTAAAAGTACCGATTTAAGAGACAAATTAAAATATGTTTTGTTTCTTTAACTGTAGGCCTCTGCATATTTTTTTGGAGGCAGAGGGCTGGGTGATTACAAATGAAGACTAGGTTAACTTAAAGTTACTTCTGAATATGGAAAACTGTTATCAATAAAAGAGTTGTCAGGGTAGGGCCAGATTTCTCTGACAGAACAAGCACATCAATACAATCTACAGTTACAATACTACACACTAATATCATGAGGGAATGAGAAAAGACAAGACATACACAAATATACCCCAGATGCTTGTTCAGATCTAAAACTACCAGAGATTTTCCATTGCCCCTTGTTAAGAACATTTGCACAGCATTGGTTCTACTTTGCACACTTACTGTGGCATAGCTCCAGATTTTGATTTGAAAGTTAAACTTTCGCTCTCTGAATCTGTGGAACTGGCACCTGGAAAAGAAAATATTTTCAATAATCTCATATCTTTTTATTGATTTATTTGATGTTTACATTCCAAAGAAAAAACTGTGCTACTTTTGCATTTCACTTCAAGAGTGGAGAACTCCCTGTAATAAACTACTGAAGTTTTTCTTATCTGATAAAACGTTGTAACTATGTACTTTAGACAGTTACAGAAATCATAACCATGCCAATTTAATTGCAAATTGTTTTCCCTAGGCTCTTAGCCGTCTTCCTTCATATCGAAGCTGATAGGGTCAAAAAAGAAAAAAATGCTGACTACTATTACTGTACTGGAAATGTATAATTTAATTTACTTGAATGCTAAAGCTTAAGCAAACATATGGCTTATACACAGATAACAAATCTTTGACCTTAAGTAAGAGCAACTCAGTATAGCAAGACATTTTCAGACTAAACTTGCTACCCACCATCTCCACAGTCAGACTACTTATTATTAACCTATACATAACATTTATGTACTGGTATCTCTTTCCAGTGGAAGTCTTGATACAATATATGTGTTTGGCAATATCCTGAACTCATTTAACGAAAAAAATACAAAAGCATTTATGCTCTTTGCCTTAATTCTTCCTAACAACTGGTACTTCACACAACATTTATTCTAGACATTTATGCAGTACATGCTTTTCCACAAAGGATTTGTGCATACATATGCATAGTATTTGTAACACAAATCATCAGCAATTCATAATCAATACACATAGCATAGTGTAGATTGATTCCAATGAAACAAAGCTTGGACTGAAGCACCTATTTACAAAGTTTAGACTAGAAAAATCAAAGCAACAAATAGCACAGAAAAGATAAGAAAAGAGAAGCCATGTCAAGTGAGCAAAGTGGATCTACATTAAAATATTTCTCTTGAGCAAAGGATAACCAAGTCATGTGTGTTTGGGCCTGCTGCACAGAAGAAAGTGTGAGGCATCAGTGTCGTAAAGACTGTTAATGCACAAAGCAACACTTTGTGACAATCTGGTTTCCTTAAAGATCGTAGGGGAGGAGCATAACAACTTGTACAATTCTCTCTCTTTCAAAGTCATATGTTGTAAAACTTCAAGATAGCACTTCTACATAGTAAGACTTTGCCAGATCTCAGAGAAGTAATTGTTTTATTCACTGTATCTCTCTACCTGTTTCATTTTAGTGTTGTTTCTGTTATTATATCTTCACACAGTATTATGTATTTGTACTATACCTGAGTATTTCTGAAATCATGCTTAGCTCTGTAAAGAAAAGTCTTACTAGAATCCGTAAGATTCATAGAAGTCTTGGAGATTTTGCTATTATATGCCAATGTGGGATAACAAAGTTCTGAGAACAAAAACCACCATGCAAGAAACTCTATAAATGCACATCTGTAATGATTTAGCTAATTTATAGTGAAAAGTTTATTGCTTTGTTAATCAAAACCTATTTAATAATTTTGGTATGGTATTATTCAGATGCGTTATTTCTTATATTAATTTGTCTTATGCTTTCAATTAACCATTTAAATTAATTTTAATGAATCACAAAACTGATAAAAGAATACATATTATAAAAAGATGCTTGAATTAAAATAAAAATCAGTATTCAATTAATATAATCATGCCTAAAATACAGTCAGGCTGCCACTAAAAAATTAATTTAATAATTTTACTCAGAGTCAAGTCATTAACTTTCCTCAGAGAAAATAATACTTGAATTATGACTAATTTTGAAGTCAAGAAATATTTTGACAATTACTAGCAGTTGATTCTGGACAAAATCAGTATGACTGACTTTCAACCTGACTTAAAGTCAGTGTACTAAATACCAGGAATTATAATAGATTTATCCATGAATGAAGAAGACTCATTTGAGGCAGCCACATTTAATTGTTCTGGGAGAAAGATCAGAACTGAGGTAGGGATTACTGCTATCGTGAAAATCATTATCAGTATCACTAGTCAAATCTTTGATTTACAGAGGGAGGGTACTACGTAAAAGCTAACCATAAGCCAAAAGCTCTGCATGTTCCTCCTTTTCCATTCTTTATTTTACTTGTACCCTAAATAAATAGCAATCTACCCACCACTACCCAAGATTATTGGAACATTCCTTGAAATACCTGAATTAATATTATGTGATGTTCAAAATGTGTTGCATTAAAGGGAAGCAGAGGAATATCATAAAAATAACACCAAAGCAAATGTAATCTGGACACATAGAACCAAAAGTAAACTTTGCTTACTTATATTTTCCTATAGGTGTCAAGTATCTTAGTATTTCACCTCTTACCTTCAATGAATATTTCAGCTGATGTACTATCTGAACCAACAGAATTTGAAGCCAGGCAAGTGTAGCGTCCAGTATCGTCTTCAAAGGCTTCTGCTATAATTAGCGAATGAAGTCCTCCACTTCCAGAACAGATCTGAATGTCAGGGGTATTCTGCAGTTCTTTTCCTTCACAGAACCATCTGCAGCCCACACACATTTAGAAAGACAAAGAAAAAAAGAACATAAAAGATTGGTTCGGGCTCATCGCACACAGGAAGACATTACACTCTGCTGCAAAAATCTAAATTGCTACTGAAATCAGCACATGATGCTTTGAAGTGTTTAATGGTATTTGCAAAGAAACAACTTGCTGGGATAAACTTTGTTTAAAAGGTAGTGAGACATTTCTGAATGCAAAGAAAATTGTACACACCTACAATTTAAAGCTATTCCCTGTCCTATTTTGGTAGAATTAATGCTTTCTGCATATCTTATGTACTGGCTTGCTTTGACCACAGTCTAATCCATTTCAATTTAACTTGCTACTCCTTTCTTCCTAATACTCACCAATTCTCCACACCCGATGTCTCATTTTTGTCTATCACGCTCAGCCAACTTAATTAAATCCCATGGTAGTGGTTCCATATTGCTAAACTTTAAATAGGTTTACTACCTCAGATCAGGAACATAAACTGGGTTTCTAGCCCTGGATTTTTGTATACATATATAATACATGTTCCACTACCAAAAAGGTATGCCCCAACAAAACGGCTGGGTTTAGGTACAGGCAAAACAGACACTTATGGGAGGTGACTTATTACTAGGTAAAAGTACAGCCTATTTTGCTTATACTGAGTCAATCAATCATTTTCTAGTGCTGGTTGCCTGAAGAGATAGTCCATGTTCTCAGTTCACATTGCTTCCATGGAGGGACCAGCTCCCATTCTTTATTCTGTTTGATTCACTCATATCAGCTATTTCTATTCTCATAGGCTACTCCCTGATTTATCCATATCTCCAGCAGCCCAGCAAGTATGAGCAGTGGATAATTCTTATTTTCACAGGGGCTGCTATACATTTTTGTCAGGCTGGTAGATTGGCGAGTCACTAAAGGAAAATCATTAGGGAACAGCCTTCCTGCCATTCTCAAATTTTCACTATGTCCTGAAAACAAATTTTGCCAAGACTTTCTGATCTCCAGTCTTACAAACTCACTCTGAATTTTATTACTCTTCCTTCCCTTCCTCTCACCCCATAATCCTAATTTGTGCTTTTCCATGTTCTATCTCTGCCCTCCTTTTCCTCTTCTTCCTCTGACACCCCAAACTTCAAATCTTGCAGTGGTGAGGATGAAGACAAAAGTAAATCTTGTCAGTAAGCTTCAAAAGTGATCTTTCATTCTCTTCCCCCCATATACTTTTAGTTTCCTATTGTAGCAAGGATTTTTTTTTTTAATACATGCAACCACAGAAATTTGTGGAGAGTCAGTTCAAATTAAAAGGTAACATTGTAAAAAATAATTTTAAAGACCAAAAATTTTGATATTTTTTCTTTAGTTTGTACATGTTCATGAGAGAATTTTTGCAGTTACATTCCAGTAATACTTCAGAATTAAACTTTTTATTTTCTGCCCTATCAGATGACTTTCCCCTGCCCTCCAAAACCAAAGTAACCCCAAGGAGTTACAGAACTCCCCTACCTATCTAGGTAAAGCATGCAACACTACAGGATGACAGACTCCACTCAATAACAATGAGGAGTCTTTAGAAATGAACTGCTTCACTTTTATTGCTCTTTTTTCTTTTGAGCAAATTGCATGTAATCAACAGAAATAAAAAAAGTTACAAAACTTTCTTCTGAAAATATTAGATTGTAAAACTTGAAATTTCATGCTTATTTCAGAATGCAGACTTAAGAAACCTAACAGATTTACACATAAGACAATTCCCCTTAATAACACCCAGAACTGTTGGCAAAGCCTCTGTGTTTATGAACAATAGATCTTTTATTCCTGAAGGAAAAAAAAAAAGTTGATAATGGCATTAAAACCATATGTAATTGTCTTCTGTAATTAAAAGACTAACAAATTCCTTTTCTGTCTTCTTTTGTGCCCAGACAGTGCACACAGAAAGTATCATTTTTGGAAGGAATTAACAAACTTCCATTTGTTTGCTCAGTAGAACCCTTTGGCCTACTTTTACAATTATTGGGCTTGGAGACAAATCCATTCTGTCAGCTTGACTGCCAAAATTAACATTTCTCTTCTCTCTCTTCCACTCCATTCCTCTCTTGTCACAAGTCCTCCCTTCCCTCAGTGTGAGGACCTCTGCTACTATTTCTACTTATTAGACCTTCAGAGTCCTAACCTCTGTGCAGCCTTCCCCAAGTTACATTTTAAACAGTATGCACAAGAGAGAGGTTAATTCAATTTCTAGACAATCACGGACAAGAGCCTGTAATACGAGGCTCTACTTAACCATTAGTTCTATTTTTCTTTCCTTTCCAGAAACATCCTGTAAAGAAAAACCTCTTCTCCAAGCCTAATTATTTTCTCAGATAGATCCCGGTTTAGTTGCATGCAAATTGTGTGGCTTTCTACTGTCTCCCAAATTCCAAGCTCACAAAATGTTTAAGAAATTGCGGTAAGCATATAAATCTAAATTTTTTTTTTTTTTTTTTTTGTCAGATGATGTTTAACAAGCTGTTTTCTTAAGAGGACAAGTTCTGCACTGCCCCTTGATTCATGCATAGACACAATCAGCCTCAAGTAGTGGGAACTGTTCCTCAGCAGCGGTTGGGAATGAGATGCATTGCATCACGTCAGTGACATACCACTGAAAACAAGTCCTGACCTGCTACATCAGACAGTGTCTACCACAGAGAAAAACACATAAGTAAGCAATTCAATATAAAATTACCTCAGCCATCATTAACGTGATGTTTGATGAATAGGAAACAGGCCTGGTGTTGGGCTGCACTGTTTATTGCATAAAGAAGAATTCACCTTCACAATGGGCAAGAGCAGAGTTATTCGAAATGCAGAATACTGGAATAGACTTAGTTATATTCTCTTTCCTTTTCTAACTGTATTTTTTTTTCTTGTCTATCTACATGGTGATAGGAGAGGATTAATTAGCGTGAATTTGTTTCGGAGAATACACCAAAATTAAGTGAACTAGAAAATACTCAACTGAAATACTTATCCTGCAATAACTTGGTAATTGCCAGTTCAGTTCAAGAGAGTTTGCAAACTAAAAAAAGAGTCAGCTAATAAAACTAAATTAAGTATTTTTTGCACAAACACAGACTGAATTTTAGTTTTCCATCTTTTATAAAATAAGCACTACTATAGAGCACAAAACTGCTATCTATAGGCTCCCTCCGCCTTACTGCAATTACACTTGGAATAGTCATGGTAAGAGGATTTTCTGCTCCTAAGGACTGAAAAAGATTCAAAGACAAATCTTTGAAGCGTTCTCTCTTTATACAGGGGGGTCACCAAAGCAAGCAACAAATCACTATCAAAGGGAGACTGAGCCAAAGAAACCAGAATAACTCATGGCTAGACACAAAAACAGCCACAAAGCAAGTCTTAAAAGAAAATTCCGGCTTTACGTTAACTAGGGCAGCATTAACTCATGTTCAGTCTATTCCAGCCTACTGATCCTCTTGGGGATAAGAGGATTACTATCTAGCTGTGAGAAGGCAATAATGCTTCTGGAGAGCCAAAAAACCCCAAATCAAACCAAAACCAAAAGACACAGAGAGTAGCATAGATGAACAACGTACTGCAGATGCTTTGCGAAAAAGAGAATTCCCTGTATAGAAACATTGGTTTAAAAATACATCTGTTTCACAGGTTTTGGATACTGCAAGTAGAAAAATGATCTACTCATTTCCCTGTCCCTTTCGTTGTAGGTTCTCAATATTGTATAAAGTGTGCAGACAGAAACAAAACAGCCAGAGAGACCAACAAAAGGTTTTGCGTATGTGTGTACATAGCATTCCACAGAATAAGAACTTAAGCCTGCATCCTAGGTGCATTCCTTCAGGCCGCGCTAGCGTTCACGCAAATTTGTAGAGAACTGCCCCCTCATACTGTAATGGTTCAGACAAAGGCTTGCAAAAAAAATCAAATAAAAGGAATATACATTTTATGTAACTGGAATGCATTTTACTACTCATTAAGTATCTTCCCAAATATCAAATTACACTGAATTTCCCTGTTCTTTCTTCTTCATTCTCCTTCCTCCATTTCTCTTCCTGCCTGCATTTCCACTGTACCACTCTTTGCCTTGCCTTTTCCTCAACTATGCGTAGTTCTCACCTACATATGTTACTGTATGTTAAAATGACAGCAATTAAGTATTTAATGCAGACACTGAAACACAATCACCAGACTGGAAAGTCAATACTCCAAGGAAGCAAACCAGAGGTATTCTGGTGGCAGGGGAACAATGGTTAAGATACTCGCTTTTCATGCTTCTAAGCCTACTTTGGTTTTCCACTGCCTACATTATTGTATGATGGCAAGACTACAACAGCAATCAAAAAAGGACAGTCAGATGCCAGGTGAGCAGCAGTTCATGCACACTGACATTAAATAGCAATTCACACAACATGGCTTTCTTTTTCACTCTTCTTTATGCCATCACAATCCTCCATGCATGGAAATACATACGAGCACGTGTGTCTGGGATTTTAATGACTGTGAAGAAAATATAAACAGAGTTGAACAGTACACTGACTGAGTAAGCACCAGGGCCTTAAGAAAAACAGTTCAAGGTTCTCTCTAATGCATAATCCTGCTGGAACTTGTGTTTTTTGAGAGTCACTGAGGAATAGAAAGGCTTTCCTTTCTGCACGCTCTTAAAACTTAATTTAAAATGGCAGCTGAAGTGAAACTTTAAGATATAGCCTTAGGGAAGAATTATAACAGGGAACTCTGACCACTACAAAAAGTGCAGAGAGATAAGTTGTAAATTAAAAAGTAATTTTATCCTTAGTGGTGTTAAGTATGTCCAGCAAGAAAAGTTAAAATGAAATACTCCGATGTTCCTGGACTGGCAGAGTCAGCGTTTTCATCACAATACTGTGTGTTAACTTCCATTTTGTTTTTTCTCCATTGAAGTTAAACAGTCCAACACTTCCAGGCTGCAAAACATTACTACTTCAAGAATTAAACTTGATTTTAAAAATA